TGAACTTGTCGGGAAAAAATCAATTTGACCTAGAGCTTGTTGAAGTGCTCAGATTTCCGAGTCCAAGTCCTCGGAGAAGTACCTTCCAACAAAGCGCTCCTATTGGGCGGGTTCACTCCTAAAATCTCTGCAAGGATGCATTCTTACGCATCATGAAACCTAGTCCGGGAAGCGGAGCCCCTGAGCATTTTAGCCGCCTCCTGGGAATGTTTTACTTACCCTCAGCTTCTTGTGTGAATGCCAGCCTCGCTTCGTTCACCTCTCGTGCTCTCCATGGGAGGCTTCCCATTCACTGTCTGGGAAACACTCGAAATATGCATACTTATGTTCTTGGCAACGCCATTCATCCTCATCGGAATTGTTGCTTCTGGAATCGTTCGCTTACTACAATATCCAGTAATATCAACTTGGGGTCATTCTCCCTCTCAAAATACTCGCATTTACTTAGCTGCAAAACCTGGGGTATACCCAGAAGCTAACTCCAGTGCGAGCCTCTCGATCAGAGTAAGCGTCTGGTCCTACAGGCCTACCCACACATGAAGTAGGTACGCAGTAGTCACAGGGGCTTCTAAAGGGCTCGGCCGACAAGTCGCACTTAAGCTGGCGAGAGATGGATGGAGTCTTGTTCTTGCGTCGAGGAATTCTGAGCTTCTCGACGATCTCAAGAAGAGTATAGAGAGCTCATATGCAGGGGAGTGCAAGGTCGTATGGGGTATTCTTACTAATCGAGTTTAACACGTTTTACGTGAAGTGGAGTGATACTCCATGTGTAAAACGCGATATGAAGTGAATTGACAACTCACTATATTTCACATTACGTGTTTTACGCGTTATTCATCGCTTACATGCGTTTCTCGCAAAGTGAAATGTGACAAATGTCTTTTTTCACTAGTGATTTCATATCACGGGTGCAACTCCATTGCTCAGCAGGTTATTACTGTTCCTTGTGACCTAGCCAGTGAGGACGGTCGTAGTGCTCTTGAAAGGACGGTAGAGGATCTCCCTATCACCCTAGTGGTTCTCAACGCTGGAGGTGCTTATACTAGAGATTTGGTCAACGTATCTAAGGGGAAAGTGCGCGATATGCTGGGTAATGATTTCAGTCGCCTTTTGTTGGATAGGAAGTTTGCCCCCAGGTATCAACGTAGAGCAACAGACCTTCCTTTCACAGTAATAAGACTAGGAATTAGTGTTGGAAAATATGCATATGACATTATGAAATTATGAGAAATTCTTATTGGTTTTTGTACAGTTCTACCCGATTTCGTATAAAA